ACATCACAAAAGAAACTCATATGTGTGTATATAAGACAAAAGCAACATAATAAATCAATCAGTTGTCCTTAAGTCAGTGGTGGTTGCAGTGTTGAATGTATGTGTGGTGATGTGCAGGCAAAACAAAGAGGAAAATCAGACCAAAAGAATAAATGATGAATAAAAGAGAGAGAGAGAGAGAGAGAGAGAGAGTAACCTAGACCCAGCCTTTCAAGGTGCAAGACTTCAGGTTAAACAGCTCCACCCATCTCTACCTGTATTCAACCCTCTCCCAGAATGGTTCATTAATGAGGTCTAACATAATCACCAGTCAAGAGGTGCCAAATAATCAATAAATCTATTTTCTTAAATAATAAAAAAGACATAATACTGACTCAACAACTTCCTGACAACGACAAGCCTAGAACAGAGATCGGAAGATTTTTTTTCAGACACCCACCCAGTTCAGTGAATGATTCATTACACTGTTGACAACATGTACAGTGCCCTGTTTTGTTGTTACAAATGTTAATTTTTTAGAGATTTCCTCTGTAGGAATTTGCAGGAGAAGGGCTTCGAACATTAGCTCTTGCCTACAAAGATCTCGACGAAGATGATTTTGAAGTTTGGATGAAGAAGCTTCTGTTTGCCAGCACCGTGATTGAGAACCGTGAGGATCATCTGGCTGTTCTCTACGAGGAGATCGAGCAGGGCTTGAAGGTAACCTTGACATCCATTTGTTTGTATCCTTGAAGCGATCAAACTCATTTAACCTCTGCAGACTGACTGCTGTCCGGGTTGAAGCTTCTAGGGGCCACAGCAATTGAGGACAAACTTCAGGAAGGAGTCCCAGAAACTATCGCCTGTCTAAATCTAGCCGACATCAAGATCTGGGTCCTCACAGGAGACAAACTAGGTAAATAATAATAAATCATTAAAATGTTATTTTTGACAAGAAAAACTGATTCTTTAACTACTGTTTACTGTGTATCTGTGAAAAGCTACAGAGATGTAACAATACATGTGTAATTCATTTCAGAGACAGCGATGAACATCGGCTACTCCTGCAACATGCTGCGAGACGACATGAATGAGGTGTTTGTTATCTCCGGTCACACACTGCTGGAGGTGCAGCAGCAGCTCAGGTGACCCACAATATCTACAACAGCTTCACATTCTCATAGCCGCTCGCAACTGAAAATCCTGGTGTTAAAAATCTTGACAATCCAACTGCAAATAATTGATCCAGTTGACTAAGAGAATTCTGTCACTCAGTACAAGCTCGATAAAGCTTTTATAAACACATTGAATGTTTACTGGTGTTACTCTCTCCTGAGGAGTGCTAAGGAGCACATTCTTGGCCTGAGTCGAGTTAGCAGCGCAGGAGACGTTGAGAAGACAGATATGTTTGCAGACGACTCCGTGTTCGAAGAAGCCATTATTGCAGAGTATGCCTTAGTCATCAATGGACACAGTTTGGTAAGATACTCAACTGTGTTACGATATCTAGCATTTTCCTTCGTTGGAATAATAATTCCATCTTCTGTTCTGCTTGTTTTTTATTTTGACACTGATGCCTGCAGGTTTTATTTTGTGGTTACAACGTGGCTGTATTGCTGTCTGCTGACAGCTGCCAGTGTCTTTTTAACTGCTGCTGACTGTGCCGAGTCTGTAATGAGCAGAAAGCTGCTGTGCTGCTGAGGGCCCTCGGCTCTATTACAGGTTTTCATTAACATCCATTTCCTCACAGAGGAACTGCTCCCTGGCTGTGAGTCATGTGCATGATGCACAAACAACTGGTAGAAATGTTACATTGAGCTGTTGCTTGGTGTTGCCTCTGCAGGGGGTTGGTGTTATAGGATGATAATTATGAGGTTTAACATGTGTGATGTATGTGTTCTCCCTGCAGGCCCACGCTCTGGAGCCACAGCTGGAGCACATCTTGTTGGATCTGGCTTGTTTGTGTAAAACAGTCATCTGCTGCCGGGTCACTCCTTTGCAAAAAGCCCAAGTGGTGGAACTGGTGAAGAGGCACAAGAGGGCTGTTACCCTGGCCATTGGAGATGGAGCCAATGATGTCAGCATGATCAAGAGTAAGTCTCAGGATCGATTACTCTTACTCTTAGTCCCGAGGGTGTTACATGTGTTTTTATGAGTTGGAATGGTGATGCTGAATGGCTGGCAATGGCAGAGGGTGGAAGGTGTGAGCAGGCTGGAGGTGCACAAGGGTTGGAGGAACACAGGCAGGTGAGATATGGTCCTGAGGCACAAGAGAAAGATGATGAGTGGCAGGTTAGGAATCAACATGAAGAATAAATAGACTACTAGCAGGCAATTACTTATTATTTATTTATTATTAATACTTCATAGAGGCTCCATCAGCTTTAGGTATGCTCTTCTGTAGCTGAACCTGACTTCTTGTGCAAGAAATAAGACAATTCACTTATGCAACTTGTATTAAAAGATCTATCAGCCAATTTTAAAAGTGGAATTTGGATCACAGGTTGTCCCTTTTAATATGGTAAATATTTCAATAATGTTTCAATGATTCTGTCTGCTGTCACTTGTCGCTATCATACTATCGACAGTCTGCCCTCATGTACCTACATGCATGTCTTTTACTGTGGCATGCATGTCTTTTACTGTGGCTTCGTTTTTGTTATATCAAATTGAAGTATACTGTGCATGCTTTTTATGTCTGTGTTTCTGCTTTGCATGTCTCAGTTAGTTTCTAACAATTCAACAGTGTTGTTTTATTTAGCCCATATTACTACCAATACCCATCATTTTATTGTTTTGTGCCCTTGCATTATGAGCCTCTGTGTTACATGTTTTAATAGTACCTGACAATGTAGAATAAAGCTGTCCAGAATGATGCCTCTATTATGTTATGACATATGACTTCAATCTTATGTTCTGTTTTTAGGGTGACTTTGTAACATCTGTCCAGGGATTACACATGAAAAATAAGTTCTTGGCTAACTCATTTACAGCAATGTTTTATTAATGTGCCCTGTCTGCTAAATAAACCAGCAAATAAATAAAATAAATAAAAGATAGTTAAGATTTTAGTTTCAAAGTGCAGTGCCCGACAAGGTGTGTTTCTTCCACAGCTGCTCACATTGGTGTTGGCATCAGCGGCCAGGAAGGGATGCAGGCTGTTTTGGCATCAGATTACTCCTTCGCTCAGTTTCGGTACCTGCAGCGGCTCCTTCTGGTGCACGGACGCTGGTCCTACTTCCGCATGTGTAATTTCCTGTGCTATTTCTTCTACAAGAACTTTGCCTTTACTCTGGTCCACTTCTGGTACGGCTTCTTTTGTGGGTTCTCAGCTCAGGTAAGAATACTGTAATATGTCATGAGGCCTTTATGATTTTTTTTTAGATTCTCCTGTATGTCAAAAAAATTGCCTGCACAAAAACTGATGTCTTCTAGACTGAAATTAGTTTTACCAAAATGATCATTTTCTGTCACATATTTTCAGATTATGTCACAACGGTAATGAATTAATTATTTTTTTCATCTTAAGAGCATCTGCTGTATTTGTCATTATTGCAGATAATTTTACTATGAAAGGGACTGTTGATTTTGGTTACACTCACCTAACACTATCTTTTGCAAAGCCTGGATTTAAAAGCACAAACCCTTTCAGATTTTTTAATTATGTATATATGTGTCCTCTTTCCACAGACTGTGTATGACCAGTGGTTCATTACCCTCTTCAATATAGTCTATACGTCTTTACCAGTCCTGGCGATGGGACTTTTTGATCAGGTAATGCTGTTAAATATGTGATGATAATAAAGCACTGACTCATAAGGTCAATATCAAATAACCTAAATCTTTTCTTAATTTCTAAATTTGGACTAAAGTCTCCAATGACAACCTCCTGAGCCATCTTAAACTTTCCTTTTTTTTTTTTTTTTCAAGATACTGCCAAGTCCTACAGGTGAATATCTCATTACTGTAGACCTATTTTGCTGTTGATTAATGATTAATAAACCTCCCAAAGGTATCTAAATATCTGAACCTACAGTAGGTGCTAAACCAGATTTAAAATCTGTGTGACTAGAACCCCTAACCTAATCAACCCATATCAATATACGGTATTGTATATTCTCTATTCATCTATCATATTGGATTTATCATCTGTCAACTAACATCAAGCACTTTCCTCAATGCTTTACCATCCCTACTAATAATAATAATACTTAACATATCACATAACACTAATGATATCTCTCTCTCCTAAAGGATGTTAATGACCAGAACAGCCTTCGCTACCCGAGCCTGTACAAACCCGGCCAGCAAAACCTTCTCTTCAACAAACGGCAGTTTTTCCTGTGCACGCTGCAGGGGATGGGCACCTCGTTCCTTCTCTTCTTTATTCCCTACGGAGCCTTCTCTGTCATGGTGAAAGAGGACGGCTCCTACTTTTCCGACCAACAAACATTTGCTGTGACCATAGCAACATCCTTGGTCATTGTTGTAAGTGTTCAGGTAAGTGTAGCAAAACAGACAAAAATAGCTCCGCTAATTAGAAAGAATAACACTGGACTCATGTTTATGACGCGTGTATCTGTTGCTAGATTGGACTCGACAAACACTACTGGACTGCTGTCAATCACCTCTTCATATGGGGAAGCCTCACAGTATACTTTGCCATACTATTTGCAATGCAAAGTGATGGCATATTTGGCATCTTTCCAAGTAATTTCCCCTTTGTAGGTAAGTTTGGCTCTGTTGGATTCTTGTGAAGGAGAAATACTGATGCATGGAAAATGAATATAAATAATTTCAGATTTTGTGTGTCCTCAGGCACGGCACTTAACTGTCTATCAGAGAAGAGTGTGTGGTTGGTCATTCTGCTCACTACTGTGGTGTGTGTTGTGCCCGGATTAGCAGTCAGCTTCCTGAGAGTAGACCTCTTCCCTACTCTAACAGATAAGGTACATTAACATTGATGCAACACCTCAGTAATGTTCCTCCTATACCAACCTGCTCTACCTACTGAGCCACAGCTGCCCCAGCTGCCACTTTTGCTGGACTAGAACACCTAACTGTACATAAAGTTGTTCAACTAGCTCCACCTCAACCACATACAACAAGAAAATATTACGTACACATTTAAGCATCAGTAACAGTAACAATCTAATAATGTCATACACCGATCAGCCATACCATTTTGAGCACTGACAGGTGAAGTGAATAACACTGATTATCTGGTTATCTTAGCACTCGTCAGTGGGTGGAATATTTTAGGCAGCAAGTGAACATTTTATTAGAAGCAGGAAAAGGGCCAAATTGTGATGATGACAACTGGGTCAGAGCATCTCCAAAACTGCAGCTCTTGTGGGTTGTTCCTGGTCTGCAGTGGTCAGTACCAATCAAATGTGGTCCAAGGAAGGAAAAGTGGTGAACCGGAGACAGGGTCATAGGCGCCCAAGGCTCATTGATGCACATGGGGAGTGAAGACTGGCCTGTGTGGTCCGATCCAACAGACGAGCTACTGTAGCATCACAGTGCATCACAGTTTGTTGTGTATGGGGTGCCCAGGTGGTCACAATGTTATGGCTGATCTGTGTATATAATGATATATTAGTCACAGGGATGCTTTATGTAGACTGAGTACTTTTATTTTGGATATTTAAGTAGGATTAAATGTACAACATACACTTGTAATGAAGAATTCTTACCTTGTGGTATTGGTACGTTTACTGAAGTAAAGGATCTAACTACTTCTCTATCCCACTGCTTTATTTTGACAGGTTCGTCATCTACAACAGGCAAAAAAGAAGGAAGGACCTCAGGAGCATAATCTGAGGCGAGTACGCAGGACAAGCTCCCGCCGCTCTGCCTATGCCTTCTCCCACCAACAAGGCTATGGAGAGCTGATTACCTCCGGCAAAAACATGAGGATGAGCACTGTCTCTTCTGCTGGCTCCCCTGGAAGAACACCTCACAGCTCCAACTGGATAGAAAATATGTTGAAGAGAAAGAACGAAGTGTCCTGCACCTCGGATGAAAGCGACAACAGAGCAAAACAGACTCCAAAACAACAGGTCAGAGCATGAACTCGACCCCTGACTAACAGATACTCTACACACTGTAGGAGACCATATTAATGGATCCCACAGACCAAGCACAAGGTATGAGTGTCTCTTGTTTGGGTGAATTTATGCTCAAATCCAACAACACAGACATACCTCATTTTTTATAAGTGTGAATCACGAACTGTTCAATGTTAAAGGCCAGTCAAAACATGATTATCTAGAGGAAGCATTTCCCAAAAAAAGTTTTTATTCTTTATCTGAATATATTTGTTTAATGTGCAAACTCAGCTTGACAACAGCAGGTATATTTTAAGACAATATAATGCATGAGTTGCTAAAGTTAAAGAAATATTTGTCGTCCTGCATCACCTGATCCAGTTTGATCTTTAAGTGGCTTTAGTGTATTGATTTAATGGCATTTCTGATTAATAAGGGATTTTGGGGCATTTCATCACCTTAAGAGGAACCTTTAGCTGTCACAAACTACTATCTACATATAGAGTATAAATGACATAAGCAAATATAGGGTAGCCCCAAGCACCAGTGAAAACATTTATTAGACTTCCATCTGTAAAGCCTATGCACTGAAACTCTCCTGTCAACATACATCCAAAGTGCTAAAATACAAGTGTTTCTGTAAATACTTATGTAAAGCTGCTAGATATGATGATAAGCACAACTGCTGATTTAAACATCAAATATGGAACTTGTAATGCTATCATTTTCCCCTGTGCTGTGCCTTTTTATGGATCCTGTTAAAGATAATCCATCTTTTTTATTTGATATTTTACAGTTCTTTGGCTTGAGTTTTAATTTTAATTTTAATTTGTATTATTTAAATTTTTATTTAAAGAAAATGTGTGTAACTGGACTGCATGGCTTGAATCTTAAATACTGATTTATCCCCCACTTTAAACATTGTACAGTTGCTGCACAATATTTAAACTCCAAACATGACGCGTACTGCTTCCAAAAACAAAGAATAAAGGAAATTGTGAGGAGAGAGTGAGGTATGATGTGATAAAGGTCCTGAACAGACATAAATAAAGAATGCTGCAGTTACATATACCGTACAGTAGCATGTGCCTTAGACCATCGAGCCTCCACCGTCACTGCTCTCTAATGAGGTGAACATTTTCTTGTGCAGAAGCTCAAGGTCAATGTGTGATCTTACAATCAGGACTTTCTACTTTACTCAAACCCGACACACTTTAACAGCCCGAGGAAACATGTAAAGCCTGAAAAGATTCAGCACATTGGTTCTTCGTGATTTTCTTTTGCCCTTGTTAATCTCCGTTATGTTCATGTTTGTCAAAAAAAGGTATGGATGGATTTTTTACAACACCACAAATTAAACATGATTGATATTTTATTTGTCTTCTTTTCTTTTCTGAGGCGAACAGTGAGACAGTGAATTGTCTACAAAAATCAATATAATAAAAACCCTAACATTCATGATTAAAAAAAACAAACATGTTTTAACACAAAAAGCATGATCCCTTTGTAAGAAATGTTTCACCACTGTTAATGAATAGAAGAATAATCAGTAAAGATAGAGAGGTAAAATTTTTGCAATTTGCAAGTGCTTCCTGTCTCAAGTGTAAGAAAATATCATTTATTTCCCTGCAGCAGTGTATTTTAAATTGAATCATAGCTGTATAAACAGACATGTATGATGTATTTCACTCCTCAAGGAAAACTGCAGCTCCTCCTCCCGGCTTTGACACAAACAAACTCTGTTTTTCCATCGCTGCTCTGCGTGGATCAGGAAGGTAGTAGGACTCCCTCACTGCTTGTAAGAAAGACTCCACCTTCTCCTCAGGAACCATGGAGACAGCACAGCCGCCCCAACCTGCTCCTGTCAGCCGGGAGCCCACAGCCCCCGACTTCCTGTAAGGAAAAGAAACAATATTCCAACAAAACCCTTCAACACCTTCCATCATCAGATCGTAAATTTAGGAGGAATGATGCAGGAGAGAACATGAAAGAAAACTGTGATCTTATGATGATAAAGACAGCATTTACAAATCCTCTGTATAAAGTACACAGGGCTATATTTATCACTGACCCAACATGCTCACATGCTGATGTTAAGCAGGTATAATGTAATATTAACCATGTTTACCATCTTATTTTAGCATATTAGAGTAATAACATTTGCTTATTAGCTCTAAACACAAAGTACAGCTGAGACTGATGTGAATGTCATTAGTTTTAAATTTTAACCTCCTAGATGAAAGGTCATGGGATCATAAAAGTTATTACAATGATCCTTTAGGGACCATGAACACCTTTACAACATTTCAGTACAATCCGTCCAGTAGTTGTTGAGATATTTCAGTCTGGACCGAAGTGGAGGACCAACTGATATTGTCTTCCTTACAGCCACACAGCTAGCATGGCTAAACTTTTGAGTAAATGTGGAGTGTAGACTCATAAAAGAGACGTTATTTGATATTTGATTGCATAACTGTGGATGTAAATAGGCTTTTTCACAGCAGACATTTTAGTAGGAGAAGCAAAGGTTTTACTAATATCATTAACAACGCTATTCAAGTGTCCAGTTAGTCATGGCAGTGTGACAGTAGCTGTATCCTAACTCCATACTGATTATGGAGCCATCTCTTTGTTAAGTTTAACTGGTAGTGACATTTTAAAAGTTGTATTTGATTAGTATTGTATCATTTCCTGTTAGTATACAATGGTTTAGTATGTTTATTTCATTTATACTAACAGTATGAAACCGTATACTCTAATGTTCGTATAGAATTGGGACACAACAAGTGAGTCAGCATGCACAACACCAGGAATCAGCTCA